TCTCCATAATATTTCAAGTTTATTTTATTTAAGATTTGCTAATATTGATTGGTTTAATCCTTAAAATCAAACAATAACAAATTTAGGCTATCAAAGGAAAACAAATAGTGACCATTATTTCAACTGATATTGTTTTTCAGTTCTTTATGCCATGAAAGAAGACAGTGAGAAGGTCCCGACCCTCCTGACTGACTATATACTAAAAGGTAAATCTAAAACATTTTTCACCATAATTAAAATAACTTTTAAAAAATAATTTTGTAGAAGTATATTTCTATCTCAATTTAATTAAATAACTGGATTCCCAGAATATCACTGTTCACCAGCTCTAAATATTCCCATAAATAACGCGCCTGCATTATTTTAGTATCATTGAGTTTTTATTGATATTTTGAATTTGTTTTAATTTTTATTTTCATTGTTTTTGTTTAAGTGTTAGTAATTTTGTTGTGAGTTTTTGTGATTTTTATTCGTTATTTATTTTGCTTTTTATATATCTATATAGTATTTATTAATTTTTATTTTATGTTATTTCAGATCAAGTTTATTTTAAATTATGGTTTTAGTTTTAATTAACTATAATATAGTTATATAGTACAGTATATAAATGTATATGAACTACATACACAGCATTGAGACATTGAGCATTATCACGTCTCCATCCTGCAGTTCTGTGTCCTACCTAAAGTCCTGAGCGTGATGTGCTGATGGTGAGACTCTGGAGAGGTCGGGTGTCTTCGTTCGTCCTCTCTCAGTTCTCAAGCCCAGCTGCATGAGCTCCCTTATCCAGTATCAGCGAGGGACCCTGAACATCTAACCATCCTTCTCTTGCTTATCTAATGACCTTTGACCTTGCTCATCTCACTGCCCTTCCTGTATTCACATATCCACGAGGTTCACACCACAGCGCCTGGTGCTTTACATGTTTTCTATTACATGCGTTACTATGGGCCAAAAGCCATATGAAACGTGTAAGGGTAACAGGTGAACTATAATCGGTTTAACTCTACGATCAGGTAATATTTTTATTTTTATTTTTAAATATACGCCTAACATAAGGTATTTTACATACTACTCAATCATTCACATCCGTTCTAAACACAGGTGACGATGATAAGGGCATTATTCACAATCTTCTTAAGGTGTAGATCCATTGATTCGAGAGCACATTTGAAAATAATCCATCCATACTTGCCGTTTTAGTATTGTCGCTTCATTTCAGCCAAGGTTGGTTGAAAATACAGCATGTTTTAGTGTTCTACATTAATGCCAAGTTATGGGGAGAAACCTTGTGACTTTTCTTATTTTGGGTAACCTGACATTTTTTTTTCATCCTGTGTATGAAATATACAGTTCTACATAATGTGGTTTCTTTGACGATCCATTTGTCTAATAAAAACGTTTTTTTGTTTGTTTGTTTTTTTAACATTAACTGTCATCCATGCCTTGTGCTTACATCTTTAATGTATTTATTTCTTATTTACTAAGGGACATGGAGGAATGTGAAGTATTGCGGAGTTATAATTCCAATAAATGTCCAACCCTGTGAAAGCCTCAATGACTGTTTCATTGTAGAACCGCAACATTCCACTAGAGGGCAGTCATATACAGGTCACAGGCAAGCTTGTCGAGGATTTTTTTGTGGCGTCTAGTTTAAAGGTCCCATATTTTACACCTTTCTGGAGTTTTATTTTAGGTTTTGATGTCCTTAAGAATATATATTTGCAGTATAAGTACCAAAAACCATCTCAATATATTTTTACAGCTCCTTTCTCAGGAGCTTTTGGAGAAGGGTATAACTGCAGCCTGGAGATCTCCAAATGGGGGCGGGAACTCCAAAACGGGGTGGGAGCTCCAAAATAGGGCGTGGCTTCCTCCCATTGACAGACAGGCACATGACACGCATGCGCATTTTTTCCCCCCAATCCACTTCAGTGCAAACTCCGCCCCACAGCTGATTCTAAAGATTTTATTGGTTGTGTCAATTAAAGTGTTGATTTCCTACACTATGCTACATTAAATGCTAACCCCTAAACCTACCCCCACACCTGACCCCCAGGAAATTTCAGTTTTGACAATATGGGACCTTTAATATTGTACTTAAAAATTAAAATTAAATTAAAACACGTACACCTAATAACTGGTGACATCAAAACTGTTGATACTCATTAGTTGGAAAAAAGTTTCCAGAGTCATGCTTGTATATGAGTGACTTTTCTTCTTATTTGTAAAAAATGAATTCATATTATTTAATATGAAGTGATATTTGTCCCCTGGAACAGATATCTAGGAGCATTTTACCTAAGAATATTTTTTTCCGATATGTTGACCATGTCTAGGCCTAGCCTACTACTTTTGTCTGTTTAAATTGAATGAACTGTGAATTGGAATGATTAATACAGTGTCTTAACACAATATCTGAAATATATCAAATGTTCGATAACAGATGAAAACAGAGGAATTCATTTTTGCTCATTTTAAACGCAGCAGTCAAATTAGCTTATCTTAGCCGAGTCTGACCCTGACTAAGTGTTACACAGCTTGCGGCTTATTTATATTACGTAACGCGTTAGGTTATCTTTCCCAAATATTATTAATAATGGGTCACCAGAAAAGTCGTAAAAGATTAGTTATAACAGTATCTTACCTTCTGCTCTCTTCGTTTTAAAGCAAGTCTGCATAACCGTTCACTTGGACACTTTCCAACGGAAAGCGCGCGAAAAATAATGCGCACCCACAACTGATTTTATTGTGCATTTTTAATCTTTATGAGGACCTTTTTTTCCGCCATCAAAAAACATTAATTTACTTATTAGTAAGCATTAACATAAACCTAGGTCCCTGTAGGTCAATATGCCAGGACTGGATCACAACAAATACATAGCCTACATGATATACTGTAGATGCTACATTTCTGACTACAGAACATTACTACTATATTTCCTTTTAAATTAACAGACTGCATGTTTACAGCCTGTTTCTTTTAATCAAAAATATGAATACAAAGTGTTTTCATGTCTGCTGACAGTAAATAGTCATATATACAGAACAGTTTGAGGTTGTCCAGTCTGCAGATGACAAAAAGATTGACATGGGTACAGACAATAAAACATTTCTAATAAAATAAAGTAAAATAGTATGTGCTTGAAAAACAGTCAGTCGCACTGTTGAGTACATACAACATACTTAAAAAAAATTACAGCAGTTTAAAAAGTATTTATGAAATATGTGGAAAAAAAATACATGATTTTTGGCATACTTACAGATGACCTGTTGTGATTTATTATATGGTCTGCTATAGCATACTTAAAGTGACCATGAACCCATTTTACTTCCATAATATGACTTATTTCTGAGTAAAACTGGGATGTTCAGTGATGTGCATTAAGAAAATAAATACAGACACTTTTGAGTTTATGTTTCACTGGTGCATTTATTTCCTGGAAACTGGATGTTTTACCCTTATGACCTTCTTTTGCAGCCTAAATGCCTGTCTGCTTGTCATATTTCTTTTGTTAGAAATTTGTCAGCTTTAACTGTAGTAGCACTCCCAGTGCTCTGGTACAATGCTGATAAGAATGACAAGGAAAACTAGTATCCACACATCAACAGGAACTCTTTGGTTTTGTATCCAGTAAACCAGAAAAATCATGAACTTCTTTGCTGCAAAATTATGAAATGACCACAGATCTAGAATGAGAAATAAATACCTTATTTATAGTAAGGTAAGGAAATGTTTATAATTACAGTTTACATATTCAATTCAATAAGTTAGTTTTAAAATATCATCATGGGGTACAAAAATGCGATATAAATTAAGATACCACCAAATTCTACACTTCTAAATTGAAAAAAGCTACCACACATCTCTAAGAGATAACAACACAGGTTTATTTCTAAATATTTGGCCAAAAAACATTTAAAGGCAAATATAGCAACTTAATATGTCACATTTTAAGCAATGTCCTCGACATTCCCTTAACATATGCTGCTATGAAACATATGCTATCCACCTTCATTTTAACATAAGAGTGGGTGCAGCCATTTAAACTAAATAGCTTACTTCTGCATTGAAAAATAAGGTGGACTGATCGCATATGTATTAAACATATGTAAACGTAAATATTCATGAGGAGTGTCTGTAAATAATGTGGAATAGACCTTTCATTCGTTTCCATCAAGGCAAGTTAGCACCTCTAGTTAGCAAAATAACAACCAGTAAAGCAGTAACAACAAAAAGAACAAATAAAATTAAGTGAAAAAGTGAATAATTCCAATTGTGCTGTCAAACGATTAATCGCATTCAAAATAAAAGTTTTTGTTTACATAATAGATGTGTGTGTACTGTGTATATTTATTATGTATATAGTATAAATACACACACATACAGTATATGTGACCCTGGACCACAAAACCAGTCATAAGGGTCTTTTTTTTATTATTGAGATTTATACACCATCTCAAAGCTGAATAAATACGCTTTCTATTGATGTATGGTTTGTTAGGATAGGACAATATTTGTCTGAGATACAACTATTTGAAAATCTGGAATCTGAGGGTGCAAAAAAATCTAAATATTGAGAAAATCGCCTTTAAAGTTGTCTAAATGAAGTTCTTAGCAATGCATATTACTAATCAAAAATTAAGTTTTAATATATTTACAGTAGGAAATTTACAAAATATCTTCATGGAACATGATCTTTATTTAATGTCCTAATGATTTTTGGCATAAAAAAATAAATCCCATACAATGTATTTTTGGATATTGCTACAAATATACCCCAGCGACTTAAGACTGGGTTTGTGATCCAGGGTCACATATATTTTGAAAATATTTACATGTATATATTTATATTCATAATTTATATTATATATAAATATATTTCATATATAAACAACATATTTTTCTTAAATATATACATGCATGTGTGTGTATTTATATATACATAATAAAAATACACAGTACACACACATATTATGTAAACAAAAACTTATATTTTGGATGCGATTAATCGCGATTAATCATTTGTCAGCACTAATATTCCAACATCTTTGTTTTTTGGTCAGTGTCTTTTTGTTTACAGTTAAACAAGTTCCACTTTACAGAAATTAGAGGATTTTCTGTATTACTTTGAACAGTAAAAAACTATAAAACAATAAAATGAGCATCTTTACATATATTTGCTTACATTTTTTATATTTAAACAAAATAAAAAAACGTAAATAAAGAAAATGACATCATACAGTTTCCATACAGAGGCAATAAGCTTATCGGTTCCAATTCATCCTTTCCAATGTGCTTCAGTTTGTGGGACCGCAGACATGATGTCCTCTGCAGAGGTTCAGCAGAAATGTTTGGTCCTACACCAGAGAGCCAGCCTGATTTTGCGCTGGCACCATAATGGGTACCCCTCCCATGCGGGAGATGTTGGCAGCAGTTACGGTGGTGGGCAGCACGGGCGGACGTGGAATCTGAGGCTGAGCGGAGGCTGGCCCCCGGGGCACTGAGGTGTGCTGGGAGCCTCCATTGGTGCTGGGGGGTCCCGAGGGTCCACGGTGCGCGGTGGGGTTGGTGTTGTAGCCTGGCAATGTGCGCTCCAGGGTGGCGTCTGCTGGAGGCTGCGAGCGGTAGCCGGCTGTGCTGCCCGTGGCCGTGAGGATGGACGCGGTGTCGGAGTGAGGGTAATGGTGGTGGTTCTGGGTGTCTCGTGGGTAAGAGCTGGTATGAATGGAGGACAGGGTGCCGTTTTTAGAGATGATGTCAGATCCAGTGCCACTCTTGGCCCATGAGACGCGTTTGGGAGCCTGAGCATCCTCTCTGTAACACACAAAAACACTTATTAGTGTCTACACAAGTTAGAAATCATTAAATCAATCAATAAATCATAATTATCTTACTTGATTTCATTGGCTAAATCCTCCTCTGTGTCTTTCCGTCTTGTCCACATGAAGACGAGGAAGAGAATGATGAGGATGAGAGCCACAATACAACCAACTGTGACACCAGCGATCATCCCAGCATTAGTCGCTGTAGGAAAAGTTAATATACGCTTAATGTACTTAATGTACACTTTTTATCTTCAGACAACTTAAATGGCTAAACATCAAGTATGAAAAAGATAATGAATACAATCGTTTAAAAAAAACAGTAAGATTGAATTTTTGGTTCCACTTTATATTAGGTGGCCTTAACTACTTACTGTACATAAAAAAAGTACAATGTACTTATTGTGTTCATATTGTATTGCAAAACACTTTTGCTGCTATTGAGGTGGGATACGAGTAAGGTTAGGGACAGGTTTGGAGTTATGGATAGGTTTAAGGGTGGGTTAAGGTGTAAGGGATGAACAGTGTAATTATAAATGTAATTACAGACATTAATTACATGCAGGTATTTTTAAATGTAAGTACATAGTAGTAGTAGGCCACCTAATATAAAGTGGGACTGAATTTTTTATTTATAATTTTTTTATAAGATTTTCTATTTTTAAAAGTAATTTATTCTTGAATTTTCAGCAGCCATTATTCCAGTGTGCAGTGTCACATGATCCTTCAGAAATCATTCTAATATGTGACCCTGGACCACAAAACCAGTCTTAAGTTGCACAGGTGTATTTGTAGCAATAGCCAACATAACATTATATGGGTCAAAATTGTCGATTTTTCTTTTTATGCCAAAAATCATTAGGATATTAAGTAAATATCATGTTCCATGAAGATATTTTGTAAATTTCCTAC